AGAGAGAGAGAGAGAGAGAGAGAGAGAGAGAGAGAGAGAGAGATAAAAATATCAAAAAATATATTTTTTGATTAAGATTCTAATGTTTGAAGAAGGGAAAGAGAGAGAGAGATATTGAAAGAAAGAAAAAATGCATATTAATTTTTTATTTTTTTTACTTTTTTTGTGAAAGTCACCTAAAATCTTGAGATGAATGAGAGACAAAATTTTGAGATTTTATTTTAGTATTTTTTGCTTAAAAGTTAGTACCCGATGGACTTTATAAAAGTTCTTAAAAATCATTAATAATGTGAATACCCTAAGACTTATACATATTTCTAAAAAAATTTAATTGAATAAACTGTGACTTTCAAAACTTTTTAAAAATCTATAAAAATCTTGATTAAATATAGCAACATTTTTAGAGAGTTTCAAAAAGTTTATATTGAATATCCTAAACTTTTTAAATTCTAAAAAATCTTAATTGAATACACCATTTAATATTAAAGAAGAAAATGTAGGTGGTATTAGGGGGTAAATAAAAATAAAAAAAATAATAAAAAAACAAAGGAGAAGAAGAAAGAAGCAAAGCTAAAAATGTAAAAACGATGAACAAAGTCAAAAATTTATTGAAACTATCAAAGATGAAAATCGACGCTCGCTGAAATTTTGATGATTTTAAAGGATCTAGAAGTGATCTTATGGCCTACTAAATTATTATTTTAGTTTAATGTATTAATTATTATACAATAAAATTTTTTCCAGATATTTATAATATTCTTTTGCTAATTTCTTGTTAGTTTCTAATTATAATTATTGTAACTTTTGAATTTTAATGAACAATTTTAATTTAATATATTAAATATTTATTATTTATTACTTAATTAGAATTTACAAATACATGTTAATTAAAAATAATCAAATTAAAATAAATATAAATAAAGTTAAACCATTAGTTACTAAAAGGATTGAAAAATGTTATGGAAGAAATTACAAGTTGTTGTAATATAAAATGAAAGGCAAAATAGGAATAATGAAAAACTTCAAAAATCACACCAAATTACCAATTTAAGAAAGCAAGTATGTTAATGCTTATATAAGACTCAAGTATCCCATATTTTCATCTATCTCAATTCTCACTAATTAATCTATTCAAGTCGTGCATTTTTTACAATCGACAAAATTAATAGGTTAAATAATCTTTCCCAAGATACATCAATCTATGACTATCACGAGACAATCTTATTCCTAATCCAAATTCATATGAAAGTGATGCATCTAGTTTAGATTATCAATAAAATTGTATGTGTGAAAAGAGATTATTCTTAATTCTAACTAAACATATTTATTTTACCGCGTTCTATACTTATTGTGAGTATTCCTACACTATAACAAGTAACTAACTATTCAATTGATGACAAAACAACCAAATAGTGCAATGAATGTGTAAAATCAATCAAACATCACAAGCACGTCCTAAATTAACGTCTTGAATTGATATAAATGAAGAAAGGGTTCAAACATTCATCCAATGCAATTGAAAAATTAGCCTAACATGTGTAGAATTAAATTACAAAAGAACAATTGGAAAATCATTACCCAGAAAGAAGAAATAATGAAGATATAGGAATTTTTCACGTTCTTGAATTCGACTAAAGAATCTTAAATATCCTTGCAATTTGCCTGATTCCACATTGTAAGTCATATTCTTCTCCTTCAAAATTAATTAAAATCTATGAATTTTTAGATCTAAGGAGGTTCCCCATGTTTTGGACAGCTTATAGTATATATAGAGTGCAAAAAGATTGCATATCAAAAGTTTCAAAAAAAATAAGAAAACACAACTTTTCCCTAAATTAAACCATGTGTATGCATGGTTTAATATGCTGCGTGCACACAATACACGAAATTTGGCTTCAGGCAATGTTTTTTGTGACTTTGCGTACGCATAGGCCTGCATTATGTACGCATGGTAAAAAAATTTTGGACCAGAACTTTCTCACTCGTGTATTTTGATTCGTTTCGACAATTTCTCATCCCGTTGACTTCTCTTCAATTCCAATTCCATTTTTGTCTCCATAGTTTTGATTTCGCCATTTTTTTGTATTTTTTGCTTGTTTTCTCCAATTCTTCATCGAATCATGAGTTTTACTTATTAAACACAATATAACACAAATTAGGCTATATTTCATCAAAAGAACTACAAAATATCATTATTTGAAACCTCAAATAAATGTATAAAATACACTTATCAATTAATGTTAAAAAAAAAAAAA